CATGCTCAGGTTTTTGTGGTACCGCGACAATCAGCCAGGAAACGAAGTGGTTGAATACCGCATGAGAGTTCACATATTTGGGAACAGTCCATCACCTGCAATCGCCATTTATGGCCTACGGAGGGCAGCAAAGGAAATGGAGCAAGTCTATGGCAGCAAAACAACAGGGTTAGTGGAGAGACATTTTTACATGGACGACGCACTGTTGTCCTTCACATCAGAAGCTGAGGCCACAAAGACAGTAGAGCAGCTTCAAGAAATGCTGTCCATTTCCAACCTGCGACTACACAAGGTAGCGTCAAACAGTGTTAATGTCATCAACCACTTCCCAGCTGAAGACAGAGCCAAGGATATAAAAGACCTGGACCTGTTCACAGATGATCTCCCTGCACAGCGCAGCCTGGGGGTTATCTGGAACCTCGTGACAGACACTTTTACATTCAAGGTCCCAGAGAATCAGAAACCGTTCACCAGACGTGGTGTGCTGTCTACGGTAAATAGCTTATTCGACCCATTGGGCTTTCTAGCACCCATCACAATAAGAGGAAGAATGATTCTCAGAGACATTACTACAGACAATATTGAGTGGGATGCTCCTCTGCCTCAAAGTAAATACGAAGAGTGGAGACGCTGGCAAGAGTCCCTCTCAGTTTTGAAAAACTTTCATATTCCAAGAACATACGTCACATTTCCAGTGAGTCAAGCCAAGACAATTGAGCTTTGTGTTTTTTCTGACGCGTCAGTACAGGCTATCTCAGCTGTCGCATATTTGAGAATCACCCATGATGATGGTCATCATGAAGTGGGGTACATCTTTGGCAAATCAAAACTCGCCCCCCAGCCTGAGCTAACAGTCCCAAGATTAGAGCTCTGTGCAGCTGTCCTAGCAGTAGAAGTTGCGGAAACTATTATGCATGAGGTAGATGTAAAACTGGATGCTGTCAGGTACTTCTCAGATAGCAAGGTAGTTTTAGGCTACATTCACAATGAGAGAAGAAGATTTTACGTTTTTGTCAGTAACAGAGTGCAGCGCATCAGACAAGTGTCTCAGCCTAATCAGTGGAGATTTGTGCCCACCGAACTCAATCCAGCAGATTGTGGCTCGAGATCAGTTGCAGCAGAAGAGCTTGTCAACACCCTCTGGTTAACTGGACCAAGATTCCTCACAGACATGGACTCGACAAAGATTGGTTCAGACGAACAATACTTGCTTATCAATCCAGATGATGACACAGAGGTCAGGGTGAACGCCACCAATGTGGTAACAGAGTCATCAACTCACAAACTATTTTCAAGTCGCTTTGAACATTTTTCCAACTGGAAATCTCTCCTGAAAGCGGTTGCCAGACTCATTCACATTGCTCAAAGCTTCTCAAACAAAAACAGTAACAGCTGTCGAGGTTGGCATTACTGCAACAACATTTCATCTTCAGAAATGGATAAAGCAGAGTGACTGATCATTCACACAGTGCAATGCCTCCACTGTGGACTGGTCTGATCGCATAATGATGTGAGTCCGATGATGAGACACTGCAGCTCCTCAG